GAGAGAGAGAGAGAGAGAGAGAGAGAGAGAGAGAGAGAGAGAGAGAGTGGGGCCGACATGCAGCAAAGGGCCACGGTTAGTATTCAAATTTACCCTCCCAGGTTAGCTACCAACCTCCAAACTTGTTTAACCTTTATTCAACTTGTTTATTACTCTAGCTAAACAGATGTTTCTAGTTTCAATAATGCTTTTAAAGTCTGGTCTCAAGTGAACAGTGCCATTTCTGCCCTGAAGTCACATGATCACATTTATGTCCAAATAGTAGCTGAGCAGAAACTGTGGCTGTACACTAATAATGGATTTTGGTTTTCAACATCGATTTCTGATTACATTCATACTGCCAGAGCTAAAAGGTAATTTACATATACCACCAACATTTTACAATAATCTGTCAGATATTGTCCAGTTTATTAGAGAGGCAATGTAAAGTTTATTGAATGATGTACAATTCAGCTCTATGCATATTTTTATTTCACTGTCTGTTTTTATATTTCCTAATGTGCTGCTGTGAAATATAAACTGCATATGGCACTGCCAATGAATATTTAAAGGTGTAAAATGTGTTGCATTTCATCTGTTTGAAATGAGATTACACACGAACGAACACCTGTGTGTCCTGAGATTTGTCAGCTACAGACCGGTGAGGGCGGGAGTACCTAAATGAAAATAAAGTGACGCTCTCATAATGACATATTTGTGATGTCATCGTCTTTTCCGATACTAGATTAAAAAAAGGCTACAAATTACAGAAGAAATATGTATTTGTATAGGAATAACAGATTATACACTTTTCAGTTTGCAGTTGAATTTCAAGGTAAAATCTAAAAAAAAACACTTATTGATCTGGTTATGGTAAAATCAATCAATTCATATCATTTTGAGCCTATGATCCTTAGAAGATAAAGGTAACAGATGAAAGATGAGAAGAAAGGGGTGGGGCATGTTCATTTGAACACATAAGAGAGTAAATGTCAATTTACTTTTTGCTGAATAAATTAAAAATATAGACATGAACTGCAGAAAAACTCAGCTATGGGGTTTTAACACAACATACTAGACATGCATACATACTAGAACTGGAACATACTAGAAAGAGTCAAGAGTGCAAAAGCAGTCTCCTTCCAATTCAGACCTTCGTGGAAAACACATTGGCACACTGAGGAATTCATGAATCTGGAAATTTGATTAAAAGTAATTATGCAAATGATGCCTTCCTGACGTGAACGCGTGGCTCTACCTCAATACGACAATGGAACAGCAGCACAACAAGGAATGAACTCAGAAGTGCGGTTGATTTTGCAGAGTACTGGCATAACTGAGGACACTTTTAATTCCAACTTTTTGTCTTCAAAATCCGGGGCTCCTAAATTTGAGCACCATGTGTGGCCCATTCAAGGGCTGTCGAGGCCTTTTGCGCCTCCTGGAAATAATCTTCAGCGCTTTATCTTTCATTATCATCATCTCTCGAGACAGGGCGGTGAATCCTTGGGGTGTCTGGTGTGAGTTCGTTTGGGTTTTCTGCATCACTGTGCCCCTGGTTCTGAGCGTGGTGGAGGCCAAAATGAGGCCCATCCTCCTGGCTGTCTTCCTCCCCAGCTGGGCAGACCTGACGTGCGGGCTCACCACCTTGTGTGCTGTGATGATCACCTCAGCCACGGTCATTTTTGCAGCTGTTTTCACCAACATCCTGTGTTTCATCACCTCCCTGGTCGCCACCGCTGTCTTCCTGATCGACGGTGGAATGCAAAAATAGATGTCTCCGAGCGGCTACTTATCCGGCCCGCGAGGACGACTCCGGACCACAGAGGCCTTTACAGCGTGCATCATTCTCACTGCTGCCGCTGACCACTTTGTGAATGGTGAATGGTCCTTTCGCCCTCCCGGGATGATATGCAGCATCACTGTGTTTGCCGTTTGCCTCCTGGTCACCGTGGTCATCATAGTCCTCCATCTGCTCAAGCTACTGCAGTATCTGCTCTCATTCAAGCTGAGCGTGATGGAGCTTGTGTTTAACGTCGTGGCTGTGCTGTTGTACCTGCTGGCCGTCATTCTCTGGTGCATCTTCGGTTACAAGCGCTACATGTACAATCCTTAGACCTGTGACAAGTGTTCTTTGGTAAACATGAATACTGTTACCATTGGAGCCATCGTCAATATTGTCTTTTACATCGTGGACCTGGTTTTAACCCTCAGATCTCGCTAGAAACGGACACGAGATACTGAAGATACTGATTTGTTTGTTTAATTACTTCAGTGAGAGGGAAAATATTCAATGGACAGTAGCTATCTATATGTACTGTATGTTACCAAACATGTGAAATATATATCATAAATCCTGCATTGCGGTATGGAAGGCTTCAGTAGGTGACTATGTTTTTGTTTGTTTTGGCTATGTCATTGTTTTGCATACTTCATTCTCAAAAGCTGTTCACAGATAATTGTGAATTATTTATTTTTCGAGAATTTCTTGTCAAATTGAAATGACTAGAGGCGCATCATTTATTTTGAAATGATGTCCAAGCTGTGTTTAACCAGAGTGGACAATGCAGTCTCACCCGTATTTAATCATTTACATTTTTTTATTGTCAGACATTTGACTGTTTCTGTGATGTTTTAATGCCTCTCTGCTAACACAACAATATAGTTCACAGACAGTGTATTCAAAACTTACATCTCTGGCATTTACATGCCATGAAACTGAGATAGTGAATGCAAATGTCAAAGCAAACACGTACAGCCGTGACCAAAGTAAAATACTACTAACGTTTTATGTATTTAGACACATTACATGCTTTCATTATCAGTAAAAATAGGCATATACAAACAATGCTTCATTGTCCCAAGAAAAGAGTTCCAGCTGTGAGACAACAGAGGGTAGACTGCAGCACTCGGCTCCCTCAGGTCTCCTCTTGCTCCTCAAACTCCACCGTCTCCAGCACGCCCTGAAAACAGAAGTAGTGGGAGTTGCAGTAGACCGGAGGCTTGTTGGGACTCGAGCCCACCACTTCTGGTTTCAGCGAGGCGAAGGGGCTGGCTCCGCTTGCCCTCATGTCCATCTCCAACTCCAAGAGGATCTGCAGGGAGTAGGTCATCTCTGTCTCGCTGCGGGTGGAGGACAAGGAGCGTCAGCAGGCATTACACACACGCACGCACACGCACACGCACGCACACACACACACACACACGGGGGAATTCACATGGATGACAAGAGAGCAGGGAGAGGATAGAGAGGCTGTACTTTTTTAGTGTTTACATATCATATACAAATATATCAAAATACTCCAAAATGTACTTTAAGTATTAAAGTAGAAGTAATCATTAAGCTGACTGGCTCCTGTCAGTGTTATAGTATTATACTATTGGATCAATATTACTGTGTATTGTGTAGAATCTTTGTCTTGGCTAAAGCGGTAAAATAAAGGTAGAAATTAAAACTGCACTGAAGCACAGTACTTGAGTGAATGTACTCGGTTACTTTCAGCCACTGCGCCGTCCTGTGAGGTGTATTCACAGCGGGTGTGGCTGCTATTCTCTGACACTCACTTGAGAGCAGTGAACAGAGAAGGAATCTCGTAATCCCTGAGGAGCAGAAGTGTTGGAAGCCAGCCCTGGTCCAGGCCCTGACTGGCATCAAACCCTTGGAACAAAAAGATGTGAAGGAAAACAAATGAGGTCAGTATGAAGAAGACACTCCTTCTCAGCAGCTAGTTTGTGATGGAAAAGATGTTCTCACCTGGATGGAATCCAACCACCAGGTCTGGCTTGGCTGCTTCCTCTTTCTCCACCACATCTTCCCAGAACTGGTGGTAGAGGCCCTTGTGGGCGCTGATGTAGACTCTCTTCCTGGGGCCAAACTCCCTGCGAGGAGGCCTCGCGATGGGGCCGTCCACCACCTCTGGTCCCACCATGACTATCTCTATGCCCTGGTGTTCGGGGAACATGTTGTTCAGCTCATCGTAGTCCGTCAGTCTGGCTGCCATGGTCTCGCTGTGGCCCGCCCCCACCAGGTGAACGGTGAGAGGTTTGGAACAAGGGTTGAGGCCGAACAGTCTCATCGCCCAGGCTATGGTCAGCGGCCGGGAGAAGAACTCGCTGCAAACCCTCCACAGCGACTGCTTCAGGTCCTTGTCGTCGGGCTGAGACCGGCCAGCATTGGTCCACAAGTCTTTCATGTTCGCTCCTTTCACAATGGGATGGAGGCGAGCTGTTAGATCTCCCTGCATTGCAAGCCAGTCATCCCAGCCTTTAACCTCTGACTGGGGCTTTGACCACTTTTCTGTCGGGAATGGAAGGTACCCTGATGGTATGAAAAAAAGCATACAATTACTTTAGTAACAGAAGGAGAGACAGTTCATGCGCTATGCTAACTATCCTTTATTACACATTCATTCTTGGAAGAAGAAGAAGAAATCTCTTGGCCTTTGTGATAGTTTGTCTGTGGTCTGCGTGTTACCTTTGAATAAAAGCCATTCCACGACTCTGTCAATGGCAGCCAGACGCAGCTGTGAGCAGAACTTCTTGTGTTTGGGCCAATCCTCCTTCTGAAAGTCTTTACAGCAGTAGTAAACATTCAGACATCTGTGCAAAGACACGAGCTAAGTGACCGATCTGTGATTGTAACATGACTCACACCGATGAAGAAATATCAAGCTGGCTCAGATCTTGTTTGTTTTGGGTTTTTTTTTTTTTTTTTTAACCTGGTACAACGCTTCAGGCTCTGGCATTTTGAAAGCTGATTTGGACGCTTCTCGCAACAGGCACAGATTTTAAAAGAATCCTCCATCTTCTCAAACATGTCTTTTTGAGACTGCAAGGCCAGGGCTTTAACCCTGGTCTCCAGACCAGCTCTAGAGAGACAACAACAACAACAAACAAACAGCATACATAACATATATAATTAATGACCAGTAACTCATTAGTACAAGCTAACATAACGTTACCAATTTTAGACAACCACATAGCCCGTCCAACCTATAGGCCACGTTTCTATTCTTGGACTGAAACATGTGCTTCAGTGTGAGGGGAGGAGCGCAGCACGTGCTGACACAAATACAGCAGACTGCATGGAGAGATTCATAACGAATTTATATGCGAAGCAAATTTGCATAATAGTTGCCTGAAGCTCGAGTAGTGACATGTTCTCCAAGATGTAAGTAAAAAAAAGTAGCAATAACTTAGTACAAACCTACTTACCTCTCAGTTTCCGACATTTGTGAATGAGTCTGCCGCTCGCGCGCTGTTCGCAGTTTCTTCTTCGGCGTCTCTTCTGGTTTGTCATCTGAGCTCGTGCCACATATAGCAGCTGTGCTTTTCCTTCTAGAAAGCTCTGACAACTCCAGACCCTTCCCGACTTCACAGAAAACAACGTGCTCATGTTTGTGCGTCGTTTTCATTGCAAGAAAAACACCAGACACACATCCATTACTGTGAGGACAGGATGCCAACCCAGAATTATTTTAATTGAAGTTAATTCATTCTAAATCTAACTCACCTGGACATATATGGCCATTTCAAAAAAAGCCCCGAGGCCCCCTATTACAACCACAACGCGACCTATATTTTGCATATCCACTGTCATCCACTAGAGGGCAGAGTCTCACTGTAAATACAGACTGTAAAACATGTCCTGCTGATGGAGCAAAACAATGGACACACATAGGTGTGATGGTGTGTTTAACACATTTGTATCAGTGTCATTATTCAGTATTATTAGTTGTTTTCCCACATTAATCCAATAAACTCCAGGGAAATTAATTTTTCCTTGTCACAGATAGCAGATTCTAAAGCAGGTCTGTCATATAAAGATTGTCTTAATGTGGCTTGTCATTTTTAAGATGATTTTATTTTTATTTTAAAGCATCAGGGAAAAGGCATAATAGCTTATGGAGAGTCTCCAATCAGCACACCAGGACTATTCTACTGTCTGTGGTGTTAATCCAGAACACACACTCACCACTCAGAGTCCAGCAACAGCTACAAAGCAGCATCACAAAAGGTAAAATAAACTAAATTCCGGCACTGCGGCAGTGTCTAATTTATTTAGGTGTAATTTTACATAATGTGTTACATTAGTATGCATATGATCTGATTTCATGCCGCTATTGTGAGTTTTGGGAATACGTCCAGCCGCAGACCAAATTACAGAGAACCATAAAAAGATGAACTCATTTTGGTCTCATTACATATGTACACACCCATGACCCTTTGAATCTAACTACCATGCTACCTCAGGGAACCAATAGAGTACAAACTTCTGTACAGGCTTGGGTTTTCCACATGACGTTCTCTTAATTGTCGAGCCCAGGCTCCTCTAAGTCTTCTTGAGGCAGCAATCCCTGGAAACGGACGTAGTGAGAGTTGCAGAAGACTGGCGTTGTGTTTGGGCAAGACTGGACCTGCTCTGGTTTCTGTGAGGTGAATGGATTGCTCCCACAGTCCCTGATGTGCATCTCCAACTCCAACAGGATCTGGAGTGAGGACTTGAGCTCCGCCTCGCTGCGGAGACAAAGACACAGCTAAGGAATCAATTAACCACATGAGTTTTACTTTCCATGAGAGGCCGAGGAGAGATTAAACTCCATCAATACTTCGCTATATCATCAAATTAGAGTCTACGGGGGGGGGGGGGGGGGGGG